AATTGCTTATTGTTAGCAAACAGCAGCAAYAACAACAACAGCAGAAGCAATGTAACTTTGAGCTACGCCCATTAATTAAGCGAGAACAGCAAAACAATTTCAGCTAACCAACAGTTTCAATTAAGCATACGCCGTGTGGCTCACGCTAATCTGCCCTTGCTCTCAGCTCTAAATATAGACAATTAAATGCCACGCCCCCTCGCAAACAATTTGAAAATATAATTAAAAACCATAAGGGATTGTTGTGCAGAAATCTGTGCATTTAATTGAAACTTGCAGCAAGAGCAGCCGCAATCAGACAATGGGCTCAAAATCCAGCGGCTGCTCCCAAGTTCACATTCATAAATAAAAGATGTCAGCTCGCGACAGTTACTGAAATTGTGCGCCTTAATTTATACGCGGCTCCTTTTCGCTGGCTGTCCTGTCAATCAGGCCTTTCGTTGCTGATTACACGATGCGGCGGCCATTTAGACTGCTTGCAGCACAGCCTCGCGCAGGAGACGGCGCAGGATGAAGGAGACGGGGCAGTCCAAGGGTGTCTGATGTATTAATGAAACAGACAGGCAGACGAGCGGGTCGACTGGCTGCTTAAATGAATGCTCAAGTAAGAGAGAGAGAGAGAGAGGCGTGGCGGCATTTTAAATCAATTAAAACTTGACTTTGTGCCGGCACAGGCAGCAATTGCGTATACGACGTGTGGCCCAATGCGAAAAGTGGCGCAAAAGTTTTTCAAAACATTTGTCGAGCAAGTTGTAAATTTTTGTTGTTGTCTTGTTCAGCTTTTAAATTTTTTTGTTTTTTTTTTTGTCTTGTTTTAGCACTCAAATGCACTCACAAAGCACTCAACATGGCTGAAAAGTTGCTTCCGCTGTCTAACAGTCTATCTATCTCTATCTCTGTCTCTGTCTCATGACCCCTGTCTGTCTCAGTGTCAGTCTGCGCTTTGCATAATTAATGTTTTAATGTCAATCATACGCACTGTGCGCCATGAAATATATGCGCACTGCTTATAGCCATTTTAATTTCTCTTCACACACACACACACGCACGCATATTGAGGTCTTTTATCCTTTTGCCTTTCTGAATTTAATCAGCGCAAAGTTCTGTGCTGCAACTTTGCCATGTAATTGAATTTGTTATATTTGCAGCTTAAGTTTTCTTTTTTCCCCTTTTTTGTGCAGATAATTGAGATTTTAGATTGGCATTAGTTGTGTGAATCAGTTGGTGAAAACTTTTCTTTTTTTTTTTTTTTTATTTAATTGTGAAAACTATTCAATTGTAAAAACTTTTCTTCTATTTGCTTAACAAGCTAGAGATTGGATGAAAAGTAAAGCAGAAAATATTTTCAATTTTCATGTAGTCCAATTGCAGCTCTTTTTGTTCTGATTCTATTTAAAGTCAAAGAATTATTTGTATGAGCATAAATTATATTATTATGCAACAGCAGTATATAAAAACTCTTGGCTCTGAGCTCGTTTTAAACAAATTGAAATCTTGACTTTGGCTAAATATTTACTTAGCTAAAGGTATCTCTATGCAATCTCTAACCAATCTCTGACCAATCTCTATCCAATCTCTGTCTAATCTATATCCAGATGTGCCTTTATTCAACTGTTGCTACGGCCTTTAGCTATGACATTTTCGAGCTTATTCCTACTTAGCTTGCCACAAAGTTTGCTTTTAAGTGTTTGCGAATCACAAGTCAAAAGATTCTTGCTCTTCATATCATCCGAGCACCTGGCACACCTGGGCCGCAAACAAACTAACTATCTATGCAGGTAGTTTGGCTCACACAAATGGCTTGAAAATTGATTACACATGGCACGCCCCCAAGCACACACACACACACACAGAGAGAGAGAGAGCTTTGCTAATGGGCAAAAAGCAAACATCAGACGGTGTGAAAAAAAAATGAAAGAAAACTTCACACAACATGAGATGAAAAATTACAACAAATATTAACAACAAAAAGCAAAACAACAATGACAATAGCAAATAGTAATGGCATCGACAATAACAACAGCAACAGCAGACATACTCACACACACACACACACGCACACAATAGCTGACACTATTTGTAAGGACGTATATTTGGAGCTCACGAAAAATCCTTGCGAACAATGTGACAAACGATGTGTGAAGCAGTTCGCTGTTGGGTTAGCTGAAAGCGTGAAGTGCTCCGAAGCTGATGTGGCAGGAGAGCGACACAGAAAGAGACAGACCGACAGAGGGAGAGAAAGAGAAAGAGAGACAGAGTGGGAGAGAGAGAGGGCAACAGTGGGAGGGTGGGAATGGCTGGGTTGGGTAGGTAGCCAAATCTAGCCATACACTTATCAAAGAACAAGACGCGCAGATATAGCGCACATTACGTATACGCACTGTGGCAGCTTGGTCATTTTTCATGCCGCATGACAACGTCGACGTCGGCGTCGACGTCGACGACGAGGACGAGGACGTTGACTACAAATCGTGACAAATTCTTGATGCGGGTTAAGTTACACATTTCTTTGGCCTTATTTTTTTATTTAGACCCTTGGTATCCCCCCTTCGTTTTGATTTGAGCCTTTCTGCGGTTGAGTTTCCGTGCCAACTTTTTTTGCCATTTGGCTTAGAATACATTTTCAAAAATTTGCCGCTTGCTTTCAGACGAAAGTCAAAGTTTTGCATTAGGTTGTCAGTTTCGCATTTTGCATATTCAATTCAGCTGCGTGAAAAGCCATTAGCCATAAAAAAAATTGTTCGGCTATGTGACTTGGTTGTAAAAGAAAAAGTAAAAGTCCCGCCAAATGCGACACGCTGGAAAATTTGAATATAGCTTTATTTAATTTTTGGATTTTTTCCACATACGCTTTCATTTGTTTTTCTTTGATGGCACCGCCCGTCAAAAATATATGAAAAAGCTACCTCAAAATACTTTTTACTGCATATTTATAAAAAAGTAAATAAAACCTGGCAGTAGTACAGTAGATATTGACTGAGTTTTTTTTTTTAATATTTACAATTGTATGGAAAAAGAAAAAATTATATGGATCAGAAATATTCAGCTTTATTATTTGATATATCATAAATTAAAATTGACTTAAAAATTTGTGTGTGTGTGTGTTTTTTTTATTAAATATACTTTAACCACGAGTTATTAATAGTCCGCAAGGCTTTTTACACATCTCTATTTTTTTCTTTTTTTTTCAGATATTATTGATGTGAGAGAATAAACCCATTTTATATTTTATGGGTTTTGAAAACACTTTAAAAATATGTTGAAATGATTTCTTTTAACAAGCTATCGAATGAAAATATTTCTGCAAATTCTCACTTGAAGTGTGCGGTATTATAAATATATATGACATGATTTGCTCTTGTCAAATGAGCTCAATAGCTTCTAAGTTGTTAATGGACTGTTTGGTTTCTGGTTACCATATTGAAATTTGCTCCAGCTTTGAGCTCCTTTGAATAATTTTAATGCGGATCTGGCAAATAAAGCTACTTTAAAAAAAATATTCAATATTTTATTTTACAGCCATTTTTGAAAAATAATATTGAGAAATATTTATCATACATATTTAAACTAATTACGAGAAGGCTTTACAATTTTAAACGATTTACAATCCATAAAATATAAATAAAGTTTATTACAAGAATTATTACGCACATATATATGTACATATCGAATATGTATGTATGTATGCTTCACTGTAAGCAGCCTTTCGGTGCTGCCTGCACCTGCACCTCCATTAACATCTGAGGCCGTATTCAATGACAGCATTTTTAATGCAATTTATGGTCGTTAAGGCGACAAAATATAATAAAAATGAATAATATTCCAACTGCTGTATGGCAAAAACCGCGTGCCAACAAGTATGCGTGTGTCTGTCTGTGTGTGTGTGTGTGTGTGTGTGCATGTGCGTGCTACATGCAACACGTGACAGAGTGCTGCCACGGGCCGCCAGGCTCGAGCAGACGATGCGCGTCGCGAGGCTAAATTTATGAGAGCCACAAAATAAATCGGAACGCCAAATGTGCGAAACAATGCATAACTCAAAGGCTGCCACAATAACAACAACAACAACAGCAGCAAAATGATTATAATATAAAAAAAAGAAAATAACGTAGAAAAAAATGTAATAATATTACATTTTTGTTTATGGCTTGCAATATCCATTAATAGAATTTCGCGGCAATTATGAGGATTGAAGGGCCAACCGAGAATTTTATGACAAGCAGCAAGAATATGACAATATAATTTTATATATAATAAA